GGGCGTATTCCCCTGCTGGCTGGGGAGGTAAAGACCCAGGCTATGGTGGGTGGGGGACGGGGGCTGATGGAAATTCGATGGTGGGCTTAGGGCAGGACGCTGGGGCCTGAGGGTGGCAAGCAGGCAGCTAGGTGTCCCAGGGCAGAAGGGACTGGACCTCCGGAGTGACAGGTTGGAGGGCAGTCGGGGAAGCAAGGCCGTTTCCTGAGTGTGAACTCTGATGACTCAGTGGATGGTCGTGGTCGGGGAAGAGGGCTGATCAGGTTTATCTAGGACTGCGTGAGAGAGACCTGCGTGCCAGTGCCTGTCCATAAAGGCCCCGAGTACCTGGCTGCCCCACAGGGGCATTACCCTATGGCACTAGGGAGCCAAAGGCGGCACTGGAGCAGAACTGGACTTGGCATCCTCACTAGCTCCTCTTCTCCCTCAGTACCTCGTTCGCTGCTCCGACATTCCCAAGCTGCCCTCGGTCTCCTTCCTCCTTGGCGGGGTCTGGTTTAACCTCACCGCCCAGGACTACGTCATCCAGGTAAGTGGCTGTCACAGTGATGTCCGAGTGACATAAGGTGACCAGACTTGCGTGGGTGGGCCGGGATGTGACATCATAACAGAGTTGGCCATGAGAAACATTTCTCCCGGGGGCGCGGGCGGGAAGAAGCAAGGCTCCCAGGAACAGGCAGGCCCGGTGGGCTTGTCTCCCGATGATCCTGTCTTGTCGCCTTAGGTTGCTCGGGCTGGCGTCCACCTCTGTCTGTCCGGCTTCCAGGCCTTGGATATGCCTCCGCCTGTAGGGCCCCTGTGGATCCTTGGCGACGTCTTCTTGGGGACCTACGTGACGGTCTTCGATCGCGGAGACACTAACAGTGGTGCCCGAGTGGGCCTGGCGCGCGCTAGACCTCGTGGGGCCGGGGGGCGAGGGGGCGGGCGCGCGCAGGCGCAGTCCTCCGGCTGACGCCCCGGTTGGGTGCATGCGCAGTGGGTGGTAGCGGTGGTCCCAATACCCAGTAAAAATCTGTATCTTTTGAGCGAAGGTACCTGGGCCGCGCCTTGCAAATGCATGCTTCTGTAGAGAACTATGTGTCCGGACCTCCGCAATTGAAGCAAAAAGGGAGAAGGGTGTTACCTTTTCATTAGGGTTCATTCTGGTGACGGAGCGAGGGCCTCATACTACGAGTCCCATGAAGCCTCTCGTCTACACCGCCCCTCTTCACCGGCATCCGGCACCGCTGTGCATCATGAAAGTTGTAGTCCACGTGTGTTCACGGTTGGTGGGGGCGGGCACAGCCACAACATGAGTGGGAGGCGACAGGGCGCAACGGCCACAGGTGTCATGGGGGTAGCCGAAATCGGCAAAGGGTTTCCCGAAAACCCTTCTTCTAAGGAGAGGAGATACTTCTCCCGGGGATATCATCTCCTAATCCTCCTCTCCCCCTTTGAGATTCCAGGACCCCTGGGGCCGCCATAAAGGCGGAGCTTGAAGCCCCCGGGTTGGGGGAGCAGTGTGCCCCTCCTCCGGCGGTGATGTCACTCCCCCCTCCGCAGCCTCTCGCTGCCCAGAGCTGCCGTGCTGGGTCACCCCTCCCCGACCCACCCTCGCCTAGGCTTGGGTGAATATGGGAGAGGGGCGAAGGTTCAGGGTCCGGGGGCGGTATGAGCCCAAATCTCAGTCCTGAAGGCGGGAGACTCGGGAGGCGGGGACCCAAATGTTTCAGAGGAGAGATGGCCCTTAATTCCGAGTGTTGGAGGCCAAGATACTTGGAGGGTCAGGGGAACAGGGATCTTAGTCTGGGAATCCCCAGGATATTCAGCTTCAGTGCCCGGGAAGCCCTCTTTACTGAATTTGGAACGGATCAGAATGGGGGCGGAGAAACAGGGAGGGGGTCCTGGAAGTCAGGGAGAAGACGCTTCGCTTGTCACTTCGCAGGGCCTCGGGGAACGTTGGAGGGAGCACTGAGGGGCCGCCCAGAGTGAGGAAGGTGGAGTTTGGCGCTTGAGGCATTTTGTGCCGTGAGTGCTTGGGAAGGGATGGATTGTGCGGAGGGCAGAGGTGGGAAAAGGGTCTGCGGATGGACAGACGTTAGCCCGTTCCCTCCTGATGTCTGTCCAGGCATTCGCTTCCTTCTGGTCCGTGAGCACAGCTGGTGTCCCATAAGCTAGCACCCTCCAGGCTCACTAATCCCCCACATACCCCGGGGTCTGGAGAGGGCCCTGAGGGGTTCAGGGCCTCTAAATTTCCCAGGGCCGGACAGTAGGGACCACCCAGTTACTGCCTGCCTGCGGCTCCTCCCCCTTCCCATGGTCTCTAGTCCTGAGTCTCATCCGGAATCCCACCCCCCCAC